GGCAGCCCCACACATCAGTTGCCTTGGTGGGCAGAGATGATGAGGGTCTCCTAGTTGATCTCTGACTACAGAATTATGTGCAACGTATACCAAAAACCCATAGCTTTTCCTCTAATTGTATCCTGCTTCAACAATCGTTGCACAGAACTTTTCCAGAACACAAGGACCCTACCCTATATACATATTTGGCTATAACGGAATGATTGTTTTTTTCAAGCCAAACATAGTTAAAATAATAAAAAAATATAATAAAACACACACACCAACATTTATGATTATCAAAAGATCAATTTGGAAGAAATAGGAATTTGTGACAGGCAAAGGGGAATGGTGTTGTTAACAGAATTCCACCAGCAGCATTAAGGTCCAGAATGTCTGCACTGGTATTATCCCTTTATTTTACCTATTGTGCTGTCCAAATTAAACTAATTTGATGCCTATATTCAGATTTGGATATTCTTCTCAGAATAATCATGAATTTGGTATTCCAGTAAGTACATCTGCTCCAGGGCCTTAGGCATTTGTCAGGATGACACTACCGAGCAATTACTCTGCTTACATGTCTTAATTGTTTACAGACATAGAAAGATTGATTGATCAAAGTCGCACTGACTATTATAGGTGACAGATCATGACGTGAGAAGACCATTTTATGTCAAGAGCAGGCCAAAGGTGGGAAATGGCAGCAAGTCCTTGTTGGCCATCTTTCTTTTGTGAGGGTTGCGAAAGGTTTAATCTGAATGGCATCCTGCTATGAACAACACAACACAAACACTGCCAAGTATAATAGAATCTCTCAATTGTACAAAGTTTATTTTAGGTTTAATCTTTTATGCTTCTTTATTCTTTCTACTTTTTATTTGTCCACTGTTTAGACTGTAATCTATGAACGGTAGTGAGTTAAGTACATAAAAAGGCATAAATAAAACCAAATTAACCTGTCGATTGGGAAAGTGGTTAACTTGTGGCCAGTAGAAGAATTCATGGATTTAAAAAGACTCTACCTAAAGCAGTCAGAGGTGCAATACACACACCAGCTGCCCTCAAGGTTCAGCAGTGCAATCCTAACTACAAATATTTGGCTAAACTAAGCATCTGTGTATTCAACTGACAAAAAAAAGGCTCAAAAATGGCTTGAGAGACATGTTCCAAGATGTTGAAAGCTTGGCCTGCAAAATCTCCTGGAACTCTAAATCCCAATTGAGGTAACTCCTATGGGATGTACTGGAAAAGTCTGTTTATGAGGCTTCCCCATTGCAAACTACATTATAGTACTTGACCAACCTCCCGGCCCGCTAATATTAGTCCAATGGGACTGGCGCATATGTGGTTCCCGTCTTGTTCTGGGAGGGACGTCATATGACGGTATCCTCTCCTATTTCTCACGTGCATGATGCGGCTCAAGGGAGCTGCGAGAAGCACGGCGATCGGCGTGGTCGCGCTGTGTCCCTCGGGACACCAGACGGATCACCGATCTACGGAAAGAGACGTAGATGTCGGCTCATTTCATGTGAATCAGTGTGTGTCCAATCACATCTGTTCCACATGTAAACAGGGAATGCTGGTTTATCGGCATTTATCTCCCTCACCGAGCTGTCGACGCTGACAGTCGAGGAGGAGAGCCGGTTAATCGGCATCTGGCGGAGGGGAGATGTTACACTGATCATCAGGGCACTGGATGATCTGTGTGCCCTGATAGATCAGTGTGGCACCAGAACTGCACTGTCAGTGTCCATCAGTGCCAGCTGCCAGTTACGCCTGAAACAGTGCCAGATCAATGCCACATATCAATGCCTCACCAGTAGCACTTCAATGCCACTTAGCAAGTGCCCATCTGAGCTGCCTTTTCAGGTGTCACCCAATCCAGTGCCACCTGATTCAATGCCAATCAGTGCCATGCAGTGACCGCCTATCAGTGCCATTTTAAGTGCCACCTATCAGTGTGCATCAGTGCCCGTCAGTGGCCTCCTCATCAGTGCCGGCCTAACAAGTTGCCAGTCAGTGCCACCTAACAGTTGCCCAGTCTAGTGCCAGCCCTATCAGTGCCATATATCAGTGATGGCCTGTCAATGCACATCAGTGCCACCTATCAGTGGCTGGCCTAGCAGTTGCCCATCAATGCCAGCTCTCATTAGCAACACATCAAGTGAAGGAGAGAAAAAATCACTTATTTTACAAAACTTTTACCAACAAAATAACTAAGAAAAAACATTTTTTTTTCAAAATTTTCATGCGGTTTTTGGTGTTGTTTTAAGGAGAAAAAATAAACCTAACCCAGATGGTGATTAGAATTACAACCAAAATAAAGCTCTATCTGTCACAAAAAAATGCTAAAAAATTTCATACGGGCTATACAGTGTTGCATGAAGCACAATTGTCATTCAAAGTGTGACAGCACCTGAGAGCTGAAAATTGGCACACTGGGCAGGAAAGGGGGGTATAAGTGCCCTGTAGGCAGCGGTTAACCATTAGCCGCCACGGCTAATTGGACCGGTTTTGGCGGCGTTCAGATCGAGTGCTGCGGGATTCAGGGTGCACGCCATTTGGCGTGCAACCCGCACATGCGCAGTTTGCTGGCATGCAGAGCCTGCAAGCGGCGCAGATCTGTCACCCGCCGTGATACCTCGGGGCACACGGCCGATGTCCAGATCTGAGTACGGCCCCCCAAGACATTCACAGCTGGTCACATGACAGTGGTATACAATGGATGGCTTTCATTCATGGCCATCCCACTTGTTTATACAATGCCTGCTGTGAATTGGTCACAGCTAATCACATGCACATGTCATGATGATTAGCGGTGACCAAATCACAGCATAAGCACAAAAAATAAAAAATAAATCCTGAATGAATCGATTTCATTCAGGTAAATGCTTCAGCTTATAGCAAAGTAATTCTTTGCTATAAGCAAAGTGTAATAAAAAAATAAAAAATTACTGATTCACTTCCCCAAAGTAGTACCATTTACTATGGTAACATTGTACTACTTTGGTCATAGTACAAATATGAAAAAAAAAAAATCTTAAAAAAAAAATGAAAAAAATTTAATAAAAAATAATATAAAAAAAAATTATATATATATATTTTTTTTCATACTGTCACCAGTCAGTGTCCCTGATCACTGCCATGCAAGTTATATGATGATGCTGTACTGCACTGGTGACAGTATGTAAAAAAAAGAAATAGTGAAAATAATTTTTTAATTTTTTTATTTTCCGAAAAATTATGACAAAAAAATACAACTTCAATAAACTCGCCATTCCTCTTATGAAAGTACGTCGGACTGTTACTCTGCAAAAAGGGGCCATTTAGGGGGGGGGATTTAATTCAATCTGTACTATTCTGACATTCTTGGACTTCAACGAAATTAGATTGGCCGTCAGTACTTCAGGATTGATCAATTTTCAGATCTATACCATAGTTTTGTGAATCTCTATAACTTTCCTACAAACTAAATAATACATCCTAATTTGGGTTATTTTCACCAAAGACATGTAGCAGAATACATCTCGGCCTAAATTTTTATTTTTTTTTTCTTCCAAAAAAACGTTTTATATTGAAGAACTAAATTTATGAAGAACAATTATTTTATTTGTAAACTTGTTATAACAGAAACAAAGTAAAAAACGTGTTTTTTTTCAAAATTTTTGGTCTTTTTTTGTTAATTTAGCAAAAAATAAAAACCCCAGCTGGTGATTAAATACCACCAAAAGAAAGCTCTAGTTGTGTGAAGAAAATGATAAAATTTTAGTTTGGGTACTAATGTTGTATGACCGCGCAATTGTCATTCAAAGTGTGAGAGCGCTGAAATGTGAAAAATGGCCTGGGCAGGAAAGGTGTAAAATTGCACGGTATTGAAAACGGTTTAAAGGAACTGCTGCTGATGGCTTGGTGCCAGATATTCACAGAATACCTTTAGCGGTCTAGTGGCATCCACGCCTCAACAGGTCTTGGCTGCTGTTTTGGCAGAAGAAAGGGGACCTACTCAATATTAAATGTGTGGTCATAAAGTTATGGCTGATGACTGTAATACATACTATGTAACACTATATTGCCAAAAGTATTGGTACGCCTGCCTTTACATGCACATGAACTTTAATGGAATCCCAGTCTTAGTCCGTACGGTTCAATATTGAGTTGGCCTCACCCCCGTTTGCAGCTATAACTGCTTCAACTCTTCTGGGAAGGCTGTCCACAAGGTTTAGGAATGTGTCTATGGGAATGTTTGACCATTCTTCCAGAAGCGCATTTGATAGGTCAGGCACTGATGTCGGACAAGAAGGCCTGGCTCGCAGTCTCTGCTCTAATTTGATCCCAAAGGTGTTCTATCCAGCTGAGATCAGTACTCTGTACAGGTCAGTCAAGTTCCTCCACCCCTAATTCCCTCATCCATGTTCTTTATAGACCTTGCTCTGTACACTGCTGCGCAGTCATGTTGGAACATTAAGGGGCCATCCCTAAACTGTTCCCACAAAGTTGGGAGAATTAAATTGTCCAAAATGTCTTGGCATGCTGATGCCTTAGGAGTTCCCTTCACTGGAACTAAGGGGCCAAGCCCAACTTCTGAAAAACAACAGACACCATAATCTCAACCCTCCACTAAACTTTACACTTGGGTACAGTGCGCGTTAGGCAAGTACCATTATCCTGGCAAATGCCAAACCCAAACACTTCCATTGGACTGCCAGACAGAGAAGCGTGATTCATTATTCTAGAGAAACACATCTCCACTGCTCTAACTCACTGTTATTTTGCTAATCTGAAGGACACAAAACGTTTTGAGGTCTTTAGCTATTGACTCTGCAGACAGTCAGAGAGACTTCTGTGCACAATGCGCTTCAGCATGCGCTTACCCTGGCATGCGCTAATCTGGCATTTTACTTGGCCTACCACTTCGTGGCTGAGTTGCTCTTGTTCCCTGTTGCTTGCTCCACTTTGTTATAATACCACTAACAGTTGACCGAAAAATTTTTAGCAGCAAGGAAATTTCACGGATGGACTTATTGCACAGGTGGCAACCTATCACGGTACCACAATTGAATTCACTGAACTCCTGAGAGTGATCCATTCTTTCACAAATGTTTGTAGAAGCAGTCTGCATGCATAGGTGCTTGATTGTATACACCTGTGTCCATGGAGGTGATTGGAACACCTGAATCCAATGATTTTCAGGGTGTCCCAAAACGTTTGGCAATATAATGTATATTATAGGCATGCCTGGAATTCTTTAATTTACCTTTAATATATTGCAAAGATGAGCATACAGCTTTAGTTGAAAATGGATCTGGATCCAGGATTGTAGTTTCCTCCCCAAAACCCCTTGACCTTGTAGGATAAAACATCTATGTTACCTTTCATCTCTTACTGCATTCATTCCTAAATGAAAGTACAAGTCTTTTGTTTATCTTACACTGAAGGCTGTAAACTTTTTAACAAGCTTATTTAATTATTGTTCTTTCTCTCATTGTCTAACATCATACCTGGTTAACCTGCAAATAATAGTAGTTACAAAGCAGCCTTCTGCCTATGGGTAAACAATGCTATAGGCTATTAAATAATCAATCTGTAAATCAATGACAAACAACACCTTTGGGCTGCTTGCAACTACTATATAGTGTAATAGCTCCTTCCTCCAGTGGCTCAGCATCTTAGCCATGGAGGAAGAGGCTGGAAATTTCCATACCCAGCAGCGTTGATGACACCCTTGCCCTCCTGTCTACTAAATGACTGTGTTTTCAGGAGACACTGGAAACAGATCTGCTTTTCCTCACCCTAAGCCATGAGCGCAGATGGCGACAGACACAGTGATGCCGTGACCATTTGTAAACCCTTTTAATAGGTTTTGTTCATGTCAAACAAGTTTTGAATTCATGTATAAGTGTAAGTGTATTTGAATGTAGCATATCATATTTATGTTAAACTCAAACCCAAATACCATCCCACACAGGTACTTTATATGTACTGTACTTCAGGGCCAGTTTTATAAAGAAATCAATGCCAATATGGAAGGTGCTGCTTCCGCCGCCCTACATGGACATTTTTAACAGTGGCCTGCTTTAGTAGCAAAGGTATAGTAAGAATGGTCTCTACTTCCTGACGTTTTTCCAATACCTCATAGCCAAAGGTGATCCATCATACCATTAGCCCCTGGCCCTAACAAAGAGTCTAGACATAATACGGGATACTGTTTGCATTCCAATAGCTTAAACTTACAAATTATAAATTAATTTAAAAAAATCAGAAACAAGAAATTTCTTGATAGTCTAGAAAATAAAGAACCTTGAAAAATTGATAGAACCAATGAAAGTATCTTATTATTAGAAAGCAGGTCAAGTTTTTATCAGGATAGCAGAAGATTCATTAATGAAATCTAGGCAATGTGTTGGGAGCAGTGTAAATATTGGAATTTGCTGTATTTTTATTTATTCTTAATACAGGATATCTCATCTAGATCAAATGGGATCTTCTATTCATAAAGCAATACAGACATTTATACAACCCTATTTGTAATAATTGTAATGATCCATTTTTATGGACTAATGGTAGCCCAGGGCATATGCCCCTTTGTCTTGTTATTTAAAACTGCTATTCTAGTAAATACAAAGGCAGTGATTTAAAACACATTCAGAATCAAAGCAGAAGTGAAACAAGAGAGGAATAACAACACCACCTTTAAAACCTCCATGTCCATAGTGTGAAGCTGCAATAGAAGCTGCCTGTGCAATTCAAAAAGAAAGAACAAATGGAGCTTTAAATTATATTTCTGTGGCTTTAGCAAGCTCTTTGAAATGGAAAATGCAAGCTAATTGAATGGGGTTGTGGTTTTAATCACACATTATTTACATTCTCCTAGCAGCTCTTAATTTTCCTTATACCAGTCTGCTAAGGCATGTCTGGCACAGTGGTGGCAAAGCCATAACAAAGACTTTCATCAATGCCAGCACAGAAATAGAGCAGCAGCAGCGGAATTATTTTTTTTGATGTACACATTCCCTACTCCTTACTAATTCCCTCAGCATCTGACTTCAAATGAACTCTGGGGTTCCACTATTGGTGTTAGGACCGACTACAGTCAAGGCCTGAACTGAACTTTGAAAACCGCTCCAAATTCTTACCTAGTGGGGAACTCTGAGCAGGCGATCTGCGTGATGGCTTTAAAAAGATTTAATGCTGTAAATGTACACAGCAGCCTTTTAAAGTCATTGCAGCACAATAATCCAGGCCACATGAATCTGACATTCTGGAAGTGGTTTCAAAAAATATTTTCTGCTTTAACAATCCTTAAAGGCCCTTTAAATCATTATCAGTTTAAGTAAAATCCAAAATGTTTAGTGTTAATTTTGAGGAGGTAATGTGATTTCCCTTGCCTTGCTATAGGTTATTGTGGGTTTCCAGCTGTGCGATTTTTTAATCTACATTTGAAGGATAAGATCTGTAATCAAAGAATACCAATGTATGTTACATAATCATCATATAATAACCAAGACTTCAATAAATGGACTGGGTAAAGGTTACCAGAGATTGTTACAAAAACAAAAAAGCACTACATGTGGTGGAAGCAATACAATTAGAAAAGCTTCTTTATTGAGGACTAGCTAAAACAGTTACATACTGTCTCAGGAAACCTTTGTTGGAACAATACAATCATTTTAGCTAGAGACACTTTTACATTATAATGAAATAATAAAATCACTCTAGGTACTGCAGATGTACCAACTCTCAGCAGTATCCAGCACCTTTGAGTTCAGAGGTCTGACACCATGCAGCGTCTATCAGCTGATATCTTACTAACAAGTGAATCAAACCTCAAGTTTGATGTTTTTGCAGTGATGGGGTAAAGGAGAGTAAAGGTATTAATGTGAAGGCTTGGAGATCCATATCAATGGCTGATACTCATGGTTTACAATGGCTAATGGATCTATACATTACCCAATGCTCTGATTTCAGTGACTATTTACACTGAATTTCTACAGAGGTCAAAAGGGAAGATGAGGTAAGCAGGAGATCCTTGTAGCCAACACAGGCCGTGTCTGGATATTCTTTTCCAACATTATCTGTAATTTACATTAACAAATTGTATTTGTCCATCTGTTGCAAGTGCAGGTGACCCAGACTAGACCTCAGAAATCACGCTACAGGCTTTAATGAACTGCAGGGCAAAAAATCAGATGTTGCAGTGCTTCCAGCAATCTAGGGGGCAATAAAGCCAAGCAGAAAACTATAACAACCCATTATTAGTAAACATTTATAATCTTTCTAAAAAATTCAACACTGCAGCGGAAACCTAAAATCTGATTGGTTACCCTGGGTTACTGTGCATAATAACTCTCAGAGCTCTTACAGGAGCAGGAGACAATGATTGTGGCTATCCATTCTCAGTATCAGATTCTTATGTATATAAACTCAGTGAAAATATACGAAATACACAATTTTTCAGATACAAAGGAATTGATACAATGATTTGAAGGACAACTCCGTTATTCAAGTGTGGGATCACACTGAAGATGTTTTGCTCACTTCATCTTTGCTCCTTTCTAAGTAGCCCTCCCTGGTGGTATTCCCCGAGTGTAGCTCGGGGGTAAAGTTTCAGTACCACAAGCGGTAACCCCGAGCTACACTCGGGCTTACCATGCGGCGCTGCACTGGGATCCCTCGATCACTTACCTTGTCCTGCGCTCCAGCGATGTCCCTCCTGCAGTGTCCCCGGCAATGTAATCCGGCGGATGCTGTCATCATCTGGGTTCCGTCCCCTGTGAGCGTTTGAGACATACGGGGGACAGAACAGCGGGAAATGCAAAAATGACAAAATGTTGACATTCACTAAAAATTATCACATAGTAAAACATTACTGTAAATCAAAGCATTTCATATACATTTTGTCCCTAGTGCTTTGTCCTGTGCCCTGCCTGCATTTTTACCATTCTTTCTGCCTGGAAACTGAGAAAACGTCCATGGTGTCCAAAAAAGCATCCCATTTAGGTCAAAAGCGGTTTTAGACCAGAACCATCTAGAGAACAGCGATAGTAAATCAGAACCACTTGCAGAATTGAGTGATAATTATTCGTGGGGAAATTCGTCATCAGACACTGAAAAACGATTTTGCGACTTTGCTCAGTGATGTTGCGAACTTGGCGCTATATTTCAAATTTCAGTGTTTTTGATTTGGTTATATTATTGAATTAAATTTAATATTATATTATTTTTTATGATTATTTATTAAATTATAAATTATGATTTCGTGTTTCAAGTTTTATCCTACCCGGGATGTTTACTAGACTCTTGTTCGGAACAGATTTCAGTAAGTTATTCCTAAAAATTACAGGCCTACAATAAAAAAATACATATTTCCATGCAAAAAAAAAATGTACAGCTTTGAGCACAGAAAATATGGACATAATCAGACCGCTTAGGGAGGTTAATAAATGGGTATAACATAGCAGAAAAAGGTGTAATGTAAGTAAATACGAATGAGATGTGATATATCTAGACAGTCTTAAGATCTACAAGGTCATAATAAATAATGGTTCTTTCATTCTTCCTCCATTGCGTATCCTTCTTTCTGTTATCTTTATACCTGAAGCTGACCTTTATAGATATCATCAATATATCATCACATGGTACATACAGTTGTGGCCAAAATTATTCAACCCCCAATGCTGTAAAGGGGTTTAGGGACTATAGTGTACATTGGAATTGTATTCAGAATCAAATCCTACAAGGACGTTGTAACTACCCAAATGCAACTAAAATGACATCAATTGTTTATGTAATACAGTAGTAAATGGTTCTTATGTGGTTTCTTCTTCATTGCCACAATTATTCAACCCCTTAAAGACTACCACTCTGAAGAACAGAGGTTCATACAGGTGCTTTCCATCAGGTATTGAAAACACCTGTGGATGTCACCGAGCAGCAATCAAGCATAATAAGCACCAATTAGGCAGCTTTAAAATGACTGTGATACTCAGCTCCTTCTAGACATTTACTGGTGTGGTTACAAACATGGTGAAGGCAAGAGAATGGTCCAGGAAGACAAGAGAAGAGGTGATTTCTCTTCACAGGAAGGGCAATGGCTATAAGAAGATTGCAAAGATGTTAAACATACCAAGAGACACC